ATTTACTAAAAACTCTCAGTACACTAGGAATATAGAGAAATTTCCTCAAATTGATGTAGAAGACCTACAAAATATGATACTAACCTACAGCTAACATCATATTTAGCAGAAAAAAAAACTCAAAACTTTCCCTCTGAGATCAGAAACAAGGCAAGGATGTCCACTCTCACCACGTATATTCAACACTGTACTGGAAGTACTTAGATAATTCTGTAACGAAGAAAAGAGAACACGCATATACAGATTAGGGAGGAATAAATAAAATTCCCTTTGTGATGCCATGATTGTCTATGTAAAAACACAAAACAATTGAAACAAACAAAAAACTCCAGGAACTAGTAAGTTATTACAGAAATGTTGTAGAATATAAGGTTAATATTCCAAAGTCAATAACTTTCCTATATATCAGCAATGATAAAGTAAAATTAAAAGTGCAATACCATTTACATTAGAAACTTCCAACAATGAAATCTTAGGTATAATCAAACAAAATATGTGTGAGATCTATATCAGAAAAACAAAAAAACACTGATGAATGAAATAAAAAAGAACTAAATAAATGAAGAGATATTCCATATATAGGAATACTCAATATTGTCAAGATGTCCAATCTTCCCAACTTGATCTACAGATTCAAAGCAATCTCAATCAAAATCTCAGCATATTATTTTGTGGAAACTGAAACCAGATTCCAGAGTAAATATAAAGAATCAAAAGACAGAAGATTCAACACAGTGTTGAAGGAGAAGAACGAAGTTAAAGAATTGACAATATCTGTCTTACTTACTATGAAACTACAGTAATTAAAACACTGTGGTGCTGACTGATCAATGAATAGGGAAATAAATCAATGGAACATATGAACAGCCTAGAAATAAACTGATATAAATATATGGAACTGATCTCTTGAAACAAAAAAGCAAAGGCAATACAGTGATGGTCTTTTCAACAAATGGTGCTGGAACAACTGAATGTTCACATGCAAAAAAGGGATTCTAGGCACAGATATCACACTCTTCAAAAATTTAACTCAAAATCCATCATATATGTAAATATAAAATGCAAAATAATAAAACTCTTAGAAGGTAACATAGGAGAAAACATAGATAACCTTGGGTACAGTGATAAATTTTTAGATACAGCACAAAAGGCATGATTGATGAAAGAAATGATTAATAACATGAATTTCACTGAAATTAAAATGGTCTGCTCTGCAAATGACAATGTCAAGAAAATAAGAGAAACCACAGACTGAGAGAAAATATTTGTAAAAGACACATCATATAAAGGACTATTGTCCAAAATATACAGAGAACCTTAAAACTCAACAATAAGAAAACAAACAACCCAATTTTTAAAAATGTGCCAAAGACCTGAACAGACACCTCACTGAAGAAATTAAACAGACGGGAAACAAAAAGACAAAAATATGTTCAACCTCGTATGTCATCAGGGAAATGCAAATAAAAACAACAATGAGATACCACTATACACCTACTGGAATGGTCAATATTCAGAACACTGACAACATCAAATTCTGGCAAGATGCGGAACAACAGGAGCTCTCATTCAACAGGAACTTTCATTCATTGCTGGTGAAAATGCAAAATGGTACAGACATTTTGACCGTTTCTTACAAATCTATACTCTTACCATACAATCCAGCAATTGTGCTGGTTGGCATTTGCCCAAAGGAGTTGAAAACATGTCCACACAAAAAACCTGCACACAGATGTTTATAGCAGCTTTATTCATAATTGCCAAAACTTGGAAGCAACCAAGATGTCCTTCAGTAGGTGAATCGATAAACAAACTGTAGTACATCCAGACAATAGAATATTATTCAGCACTAAAGGGAAATGAGCTATCAAACCATGAAAACAAAAAGAAGAACCTTAAAAGCATATTACTAAGTGAAAGATGCCTGTCTAAAAGACTACAAACTATATGATTCCAATTATGTGAAATTCTGGAAAAGGCAAAACAATGGAGATGATAAAAAGATAAATAATTGCCAGTGGTTAGGAAAAAGGGAAAGGTGAATTTTTAGGGCAGTGAAAATATTCTGTATGGTACTGTAATAATGAATATAAGTCATTATCGATTTTCCTGAACCCAAGGAATGTTTGACACCAAGAGTGAGTGAGCCCTAATGAAAACTATGGACCATGGGTGATTATGTATCAAAGTAGGTTCATCAGTTGTAACAAACATACCAGTTTGGTGGAGAAGGTTGATAATAGGAAAGGTTGTCAATGTGTGGGTGTAGGAAGACATATGGGAAATCTGTATACCTTTCTCTCAATTTTGCTATAAACCTAATGCTCTAAAATTAAGAAAAAAACAGAGGGAAAATATTACTTCTGGCAAAGTTATTAATATTCAAGACATCTGGCTTGCAAGCTTAGAAAAACTGAGTAAGTTAGTGGGAACAGTTTCTACTTAAGAACAGTTTGATGGCTCAGGTTTAAAAGGGTTACGAATGATTGTAACTGATACTCTGAATTTGACCTTATTCAATGTGTAATTGGAAAGAAATCTCAGCATATAAGCAACAAAATATCAATAGATTTTGCTGGTTTATTGACTCATACTATGTGTTTAAATATTATTAAGAGAGGTGGGGGTATGTATTTTGTATATGTGTACATTGCAATTCACATGTGAATTACCTTATCCAGAAAATATATTATTTGCTTTATCTGGGGGTCCTTACATTATTTGATAAACTATTGATTAAAGCATTTATTCTCTATTAAAATGAGTTTTAGTATTGGAACTGTAAAATGAAAAGGCCACAAAGAAGAAATGTAAGAAAAATATTTAACAGAACTAATACATGTTTAAATCTTGGTTATCATAAGTATTATGTAAATGTAATTTCTACAGCATTTAGTAAAGTGACCAGTTACAAAAAAAATGACATATATCATAATACCAGGAACTACAATACCATCATCCTAATTTTAGAGTACTAAAAGTATTGTTAAAGTTTAGTAAATTCAAAATTTAGCTGGGCATGGTAGTGTGCACCTGTAGTCCCCGGTACCGGGGAGGCTGAGGTCAGAGGGTCACATGAGTCTGGGGAAGTTGAGGATCCAGTGATCTGTGATTGCACTACTGCACTCCAGCCTGGGAGATAGATTGAGACATTGTCTCAAAAATAAATAAATAAATAAATAAATAATGAAGTATAGTATATCATAAAAAAATCTATGTCTGAAAACCACATTGGATTTCAAAATAGCAAAATGTAGTATATTTCATGGCAGTCTTTTCAGTGTCTTATTAAATGATTCACCAGACAGTTTCTGACTGGCAAAATAATAGTAACAATAACGCCAAATCAGAAAAGAATGTGTTTTTCATGAAGAAGAAATATAATGACTCCAGAGTAAGCACTTGGAGTTGGGTAGGATTTCTAAACACTATTCTGTAGTACCAAAAAATTATTCCAGAGAGTATTAACCCAAATAATGAAAGAATATACAATTTTTTCAAAAGCTACGACTCCTTTGATTGAAGGGAAAAGCTTAAAAATAATCACATTAAGGCCGGGTGCGGTGGCTCAAGCCTGTAATCCCAGCACTTTGGGAGGCCGAGGCGGGTGGATCACGAGGTCAAGAGATCGAGACCATCCTGGTCAACATGGTGAAACCCCGTCTCTACTAAAAATACAAAAAATCAGCTGGGCATGGTGGCGTGTGCCTGTAATCCCAGCTACTCAGGAGGCTGAGGCAGGAGAATTGCCTGAACCCAGGAGGCGGAGGTTGCGGTGAGCCGAGATCGCGCCATTGCACTCCAGCCTGGGTAACAAGAGCGAAACTCCGTCTCAAAAAAAAAAAAAAAAAAAAAAAAATCACATTAAATAAACAATTTTTTTCATCTTGAAAGTAGAAAATGAAAGGATAGAAACATCCAAAAACTGACATCAAGATGAATTATTCTAATGGAAATAATTTGGATGAAGAAAACCTGATGGGCTAGATATTTACAAAAGATAAAAAGTGGAACAGTCACATAACAAAGGAATAGGACACAAATAAAAAAAAATTAACAATCTCCAAGAAAGCGATCATAGGAAATATTTCTTAAAACTACTTTATGAGTTTTAACTTTTATAAACCATAACACATGAAAAATATTTTTGTAGCCTTAGTAAGTTAATATATTGTTCACCCTTAATACAAAAAAAGGGGAAAAGTAGTCAGTGGGTTTTTTTAAAGTGACAAAGTGATACAGGCATGCTAACTGACTCATACGTTAACAAAAATTGACCAATAAAATATTGTGATCAATGACTAATTCAACTGTTGCATGTTTAACATGTATTTTTTGAGAGCAAAATTAGTCATAATTATAAAATCTATTAGGTTATTTAACCTTCAAAAGGAATAGAATACATTTATTTTTAGAATATTAAGGGTATTACATGCAAACATTGTCATGAGAACTTGCAAGAAAATTATATATAATTATCTAAAATACTAAATGATTGGATAAGTTTCTAACTGTAAAATGAGGCAAATAATTTAAAATACAATACTATAATTTCAAAATGTAGCTGTAAATGATACTACATACAAAAACAATTTTAAAGTTTCAAAAATTCCCATTTAAATATTTGACATATTTAGATATGGTAGTTACATAAAAAGGATTTCTTCTTTTTTTTTTTTTACCATAATTAGTACAGTATAAAGAAGTCTGAATTTTGCAATAACTCCCCTAATTTATTGTAAAATCCTTATTATTGTCTTAAAATAGAAAATTTAGTAACATCTACTTATCTGGTACCTTTCAAGACTATTCAACCTAATTGTACAGGTGTTCCAGGAATTGATATTACTCAGGAGTGTAAGTTGTCATAAGTTGCCATAGGCTGTTTTGAAGGGTGAGAAGGCAAGCTTTCTTATTTCTCTTTTATTTATTTATTTTTATAGTAAAAAATGATAAATTACACTCTTTTTAATACCATAAAATAATTATAAAATTCTTACCTGATACTACACCAATTCCATCATCACAATCATAGTCAGAGACTTCACTATCACTTATTCTCTTTGACCCTATGAAGTAAACAATGGCAATAATTAAAATGCTGATTATTTATAGAAGCGAATCCCTCACACACCTGAAAAACAAATGAAAGAATTCTGAATGAATCAGTTAATAACAAAAATATCTACAGAAGAAAAGTCATTACGAGCTCATCATCACTTATTTCCATACACATTTCATGATGTGAGGATATGGGTGATGAAGAGTTAACAATTTGTACAATTATTATTCTGTAAAGGTATACGATAAAGTTCCTAAATGGTTTAAAGATTAAAATAACATTAAATGCTAAATAATGTGGTTAAGTTATCCAATACTGATTGATAAAATCTACTAGAAAATAGATAAGTTAATTTTAGATGCTTACAAAGACCAGATAAATTTCAAAACACAATGCATTATATTCCAATGTATTAATGCATCTTTTTGAATATGTATGAGTAATACATTGAATATAGTCAGTTCCTTACTTCTCATGTTCATGGAAAGAAAGCATAATTCAGAGAAGTACACTCAAGACATCTTAAATATCCTTTTAAAAAACTAGCTAAAAGCTATTTATTGCTTTGAGAAAACAATAGGAAAAAAGTCATCTACAATACTATTATGTCTAAATTGTGTACTTTGGTATGTTTTCCAAGAAATAGCCCAGGAAAGGCACTCATAGTTATTACAATTCAATAGCACCATGTTTGTGTTTTTCCTCACAAAACAATTCCACAGCAAAATTTTTAAATGGGAGTCTTATTATGGCAAAAATAGCATCAAATTAAATCAACCAGAGCTTTGAGAGCTAAAGCAGATTATGACTACACACTTAAATATGAAATTATTGCACATAAAACCAAATATGTTGTTATTTGTTTTTAAGTATCTTTCACCTTCTTGTGTTTCAGGAACAGATACATCCTACACAATATAATTCTTTATTAAAGCATTTTTCCTTCCTTGGTATCAGAAAACATCTAAGGAATGAAGACACTTGCTATTTCAAAAAGATATTGTCTATCTTCTTCCAGTATACATTATTCTTTCCACAGAACTCAGTTTTATCAGAAAATAAGTTATTTTGTGTATGGTTTATAAAACACTGAGAACTCACATTGCATAAGCTGTCTAAGGCAGAGATCATTAAAATGTCCCAGAATTATCCACCAATATTTGCAACATACTAAGCACCTGATAAGTTTTTCCATTTGTTTGTTTTAAGCCCTGCACTTTGCCAGCAGAGAAAGTTTCTATTACCAGAAACTGAAGTTCTCATTTTCTCCTCATAATGGTGAGGAAGAACACAGCTACCTGTTTTTATCATGTTTCCCTACTATTATTTTCATTCCAAATGCTGATGTTCATAAAGCTTTAGACATAATCAAATCTGAATCTTTTACAGCCCCAATAGATATGCATAGAATAAAAGCCTAACATAGACAGATGAGAGGATTACAGAAAGAGTTTAACGTAGTTTAGAAAAAATTTTATTGTGTTTATTTTTACTATTTTGTGACTTGTGGGGCAACTACTGAATCTGCAAGAATAGAAGACAAATTGTCTAACAGATATTAAAACTACGATTATCTGACAACACTGCAACAGACTGGGCACAAAAGGATTTATAGAATTCAGACATACATTCTAAAGGGACTTAGGACAGAAGGCATATCACAGGGATGGGCTATTGAGGTGAGACTTAAGGAGAATTGCACCCAGCTTGTCTGTCAATGGGCAAGGATAGGGTAATGATTAGTTTACTATGCCAGGTGCACTCCAGAACAGAAGGATTACAAGTTTTTGATATTTGTAAAAAATCAGATCAAAAATGACACCAGTAAAATATGTTTATTTTATCAGCCTTTGTAAGCTGTACCATGTGGGGGTTCATAGGTGAAGTGGCATATTTAGTTTATAAATGCTGTTTCCTTCAAAATTTTACTGATTCCTTTCTAAATTGAGATTGTGTCTGTTTTATATTAACCCTATATAAGTTAAATATATTGCAATTCAGTTCCCTCTAATTGTCTTGTCTTCTGACATTCTGATGAAAACAAGTTATAAGTGTCAATATTTTCTTTTAAAATTAATGGGCCTTTTTGTTGTTGTCGTTGTTGTTGTTGAGCCTGAGTTTAGCTTTTGTTGCCCAGGTTGGAGTGCAATGGAGCTATCTTGGCTCACAGCAACCTCTACCTCCCAAGTTCAAGTGATCTCCTGCCTCAGCCTCCCAAATAGCTGGGATTACGCACTCGACACTATCCCCAGCTAATTTTGTATTTTTAGTAGAAACAGGGTTTCACCATGTTGGTCAAACTGGTCTTGAACTCCTGACCACAAATGATCCACCTACCTTGGCCTCCCAAAGTGCTGGGATTACAAGCATGAGCCACCACCCTTGGCCAAAATTAGTGTATTTAGTGTCGAACTCCCGACCTTAAGTGATCCACCTGCCTCTGCTTGGCCTCCCAAAGTGGTAAGATCAGAGATGTGAGCCACCACATCCTGCCAAAAATTAGTGTTTTTCATGTCCTGTCAGTATATCTTGATTTATGAGCAAAGACAGAATCTCCCACATTTTCTTTTGAAAATTTAAAAATTTTGCTTTAGGTCGGGCACGGTGGCTCAAGCCTGTAATCCCAGCACTTTGGGAGGCCGAGGCAGGTGGATCAAGAGGTCAAGAGATCGAGACCATCCTGGTCAGCATGGTGAAACCCTGCCTCTACTAAAAATACAAAAAAAAAAAAAAAAATTAGCTGGACATGGTGGCCCGTGCATGTAATCCCAGCCACTCAGGAGTCTGAGGCAGGAGAACTGCCTGAACCCAGGAGGCGGAGGTTGCAGTGAGCCGAGATTGCGCCATTGCACTCCAGCCTGGGTAATGAGCGAAACTCCGTCTCATATATGTATATATATATATATATATATATATATACATATGTATTTTTGCTTTTTGCACTTACATCCTCATTTACATTAAACTGAGGTGGTGTATAGTGTGAGATATAAATGCACTTTCACCTTTCCCATATGGATAACCCATATCTCAGTATCATTTATTTAATATTTCTGCCTTTCCCAAATGATCTGTGATGTCACCTCTGTCATCAATAAATACATTCTATCTGCAAGGATCTACTGCAATTCAAATCAAAGTCCCTATAGGATGATCTGTATTCTATTTTTTTCCCCTTGTACAGGGTGTCTATCTACAAATAAGTAACTCACTTGTTTTGTTACTATAATGTTATATATTGAAGAGCAAATACATCCACCTTATTATTATTCGCATCTTGGATCATGTCCCTTTGTTCTTTCATATAAATTTTAGATTCCGGTTATCATCTTCAACAAAAATATCCTATAGGGATTTTGATTTTGAATTGCACTGAGCCAATACATTAATTTAGAAAGAACTGCCATATTTTACAGCATTATTTAGTAGTCATTTACATGGTATTTTCTCCATCTAAGTTTGGTCTTTCTATAAAACTTGTTATTTTGTCTACTTACATTGTCCACATTTGTTGGATATATATTTTCTATCTTATAATTTCAATTTCTATTAGCTATACAGTTAAGAACTATGTTTTCTAAATTAGTTACTCAGACACAAAAATGCAATTTCATTGTAAATGTTAACGAACCACATTGTTAAAGTCTTTTTCTCTTTTTTGCTTCTATTAATGTGATTCTGTTTTAATTTGAATTTTTCCATGTAGATAATCATTATCCCCATTCATTGTGTGTTTCCTTTCTTTTTCCTGCTTTGCTGTGCTAATAACTACAGTGCTGGAAAGAGGAAAATCTTACATTATTTGTAAAATTGTGATTTAAAATACTATTTTTGTAATATTTTCCATTAGATTGTTATCTGCTAAAGTTACACTTTATCATACATTGGGGAAGTTCTCTATATTGTCAGTTTGCAGAGTGAGATTTCATTTTTATTAAATGTGTTTCTGCATCTATTGAATTGATTGTGCAGATTATATAATCTATTTGTATATATAATTTATATATATATTTACTTGTATATTTTGTATATATATTTTGTATATATTTATTTGTATATATTTTATATGTATATTTAATTTATATGTATATATAATTTATATGTATATATAATTTTCCAAATAAGTAAATATATGTATATATGATAAACCATTCTTGCATTTCTGAGTTTAAGTTCAGTAATATTTATTAAGGATTTAAGCATTTTTACCTCTTAACTATTTTTTTAGAGACAAGGTCTTGATGTGTTACCCAGGTTGGGATACAATGGTACAATCATAGCTCACTGTAACCTGAAACTCCGGACTGAAGCAGTCCTCCAGCCTCAGCTTTCTGAGTAGCTAGGACTACAGGTGTATACCACCATGCCTGGCTAATTTTTAAATTTCTTTGCAGAGGTGGGGCTCTTGCTATATTGCCCAGACTGGTCTCAAATTCCTGGCCTCAGTCATCCCACCTTAGCCTACCAAAGCACTGGGATTGAAGGGAATTTTTGCATTTTTATTTATTCATTTTGTCTAACTTTTCAAAGTGTTTGCTATAATTATCACAATTTTATCTATTTGTTTTCTGATGTATCAATTGTTTCCATTTGTATCCTGTAACTTCTTTTTATTCTATTGATAAATTTTACTAAAGGTTTATCTTGCTATTCGTTTCAAGGGGTAAACTTTTGGGCCCCATTATTCTGTCAATTAGAATATTTTATTAATTTTTTTCTTATTTTTATGATTTATTTCCTTCTGCTTTAAATTTATCTCACTATTTTTTCCTAAACTCTTACATTCAATGAGTACATTATAATTTTCTGCCTTTTACTAACATGAGCATTTCCCTGTTAGCACCAAAATTTTATATGTAGTATATTGATTAAAGTTCTATTCTTGGTATACTCTTCTTAGGATTATAAGATATTTACCATATTTCTTAACTCTAAGACACTATCAATTGATTGATGACTAATGATTTCAGAGATGCTAGAGCTTGAAAAAATGCTGATTACAAGTTT